GAACAATTCCCAGGAAAATGTGGTCATTTGTCTGTCTGTTACCTCCACTGGTAATAATTGACTTCCAGGATGAATAATTGAGTTTCAGGGCAAACAGGGGAACATTTATCTGTCTGGGCTACATACAGCTTGGAAATATGTCTTAGTAAGTTTGTCTAGCTATTAGTCTGTTCTCCATGTTCCAAGATGACAGTATTGTAAATGCTGCTTGGAGAACAGGTTTTAACCTGTTCTCAGGCATGCAAACAGCAACAGGTTTGGCTGTCATCAGAATCGCTGAAAGAAGAAGGAAGGCAAGAAAATGCAGTGAGCATTTGCAGAAGTATATGAGGGGATTTAACAATATTCATTTGTAGCATAAATCCCTCTGTGTGATGTTCTGGTGCTTACAAACTGCAGATGAACTCCTGGTTCTTGGCCATACTAAGTTCAGGCTGCACATGAGATAATCCTCGGCTTCATTAGAAAGAAACTTTGCACATAGAAATCTAGCATGTTAGGGCAAAGGTCTGTAGCCGAGCCTTCTCCCTGACAACTAGTTTTCTATAGTAGGGTTTTTGTTTTTAAGCATGGGGGACCATTTAGTCACAAGTCCCCATCTGCAATCTGAAGCAGTACACAGAAGATAGATTAACCACTTTAGGTGTGCTGCCTGTGAGCATGAAGCATAGGTATTGCTGGGACTGAGAACAACAGAGTAAATGTTTTCCTGTGTAAGTAAATATCGCTTCCACATGATGTCCTCTTAATTCAGTATATATTTTGAAATGTGTCCATGAGACCTATCCAAGTTATCAACTTGAAATACAAATACAAATCCAGATTGTGCACCATGTGTCAGCTGAAATAATGGATGTCTTGACAAGAAAAGTCAGTATACACCCTCCTGTCACCACATTATTGGACTTGCATTATTACAGTTGTCAGGATCCACAGGCAAAACAACGAAGTACATGCTTCTAGGAGGGTTTTACTTTTATTGAAAAGCCATAGATGCAATAACATGAACACTGTTAGGAATGGCGGACTACCTATGCGCATAATAGGATATAGGGAATTCGTATGCCCCCCCCCCAGCAATACCCAATTAGGTGGATTCCCGCGCGGGAGATGGCAAGAGTCTCTAACGGTAGCGAAGCTGGGAATAAAGAAGTTCCCACAAAAGGTAGACACCACAATCACCTCCAGTAACTCTTTACAGATAAGCGTTGCAGCTGTGAAACTATTAAGCGCATGGGAAGGAATGCAAAGCATTTAGAAAGCCCTTCCACACTCATGGCAGCTTAGCTGACCCTAATATGTCACAGGCTTCCTAAAAAGTGGATTTTAGTATTTTCTAGTACCGTGGTACTTTGTCAAACTACTTTTTGAGGAGAGGGCCCATGAAGCAGTTTTTGTACAATGCTACAGGACAGCTTTGCTTTCATACTCCTGTCTCTAAACTGCACATAATTAGAGATTGGCATGAACTGGAAAAATGCAGGTTGTGTCAGTTCATGGTTTGTGGCATTATGCTCCCCACCTCGCAATTGTTTTTGTTGATTTCTTTGGGAACAGAAAGCAGGGGTTTAAAGGGACTTGAGTCCCTTCGGACCCCTGCTTTTCTGCTCTATCTACAAATCACCATGACCTGCTTTAATGCATAATGATAAATAGTTAATTTTAAGCATGCTCACATGTGGTTTGTTTTATTCCGTTTTTTAACCTCATACACATTGCTGAAGATATTTAAGTGTTCCTGATCCTCAACATATTATACGAAGTAACAGCACAATCTGAAGCAAAGTCACACCCTTCTAAATCAACTGAAGTGAATGGGTTTAGAAAGGCACAACCCTGTTTAGGATTCTCCCGCAAGTCCTGCTTTTGTGTCCCTTTATTTATTTCTGTGCTATACATGAAATTCACAGTTCCATGGGGTTCTTATGCATTTGTGTGGTGCCTCCTCACAGAGCATTATACAAAGACAGCTAAGGCACCCTCTCCAGAGTTAGAGTATCTTCTATTAGCTTAATAGGGTTCCCATGAGGAGCATTTCCCAGCATTAAAGAGAATGCATAGCAGCTAGGCATGTGCAGTTCTGTATGGATATACTGGAATCTCCATGTCACCAATGAAGCAATAGGACTGAAGCACTTATTTGAAGTATAATCAAAAATAGACTTTCAAGAGCCTACAGAACTGGTGTTTTTTACTTTGGGCTGCAAAATATTGTTTGTTGCTCCAAACAGGTTTCATTCCTTAACTTCTTTAACATCAGCGGGAGTCAGCTGAGTAAGTGTAAATTGTCATTTTCAGGCAATTTGAGAATCCAGCATTAATGGGCCTTCCTTGGTGTAAGTAGTTGATTATTTACCCTCCAAGGAACATTTTCCAGCTTCTTAAACAGCATAACACAGATTAATAGCTTGTAAAAATCAGATGAATTCACTAATGGATTACAACCACTGATGTGTGATAATATCAATGAAATGTATGTTTCATACAGTGGGGTAATCTAATGAAAAACAAACTTATATTGTCACTGAAATGATAACATCTTTAAAAAATTAAGCATTCTGACTTAACCAGCTAGGGGAGTGAAGCCTAAATCACTTTCACGGAAGTGGCGATAAACACTACCTTAAAGAACAATCACCCTGTTTTAAGAGCATATTTTGAATAGTTTCTGTATCCAAACCTTGTGACATTTCAATATAATTTTGTTTCTTGGTAGCCTAGCTGTATGCATAAACCTGATATTTCAGTAATATTCTCTCACCAAAGGTTTGTAATCGGTAGTCTTGATCACTTTGGTTTAAACAGCAGTGCTAAACCAAGTGGAAAGTGCCAGGGATCTTGAAGCAGGGACTCTAGCAGCCAGTCCTGAATACCCTGTACTCCACACCCACTATAGCTTCCTGCCAAAAGAGGAAGCCTCTGGCAAGTTCTGGTCACCACACCTTAAAAAGGATATTATAGCTTTGGAAAAAGTGCAGAAAAGGGCAACTAGAAAGATAAAAGCGTTGGAACACTTTCCCTATGAGGAAAGGTTAAAGCACTTAGGGCTCTTTAGCTTGGAGAAACGACGACTGAGGGGTGACATGATTGAGGTTTATAAGATTATGCATGGGATAGAGCAGGTAGAGAAAGAGGTACTTTTCTCCCTTTCTCACAATACAAGAACTTGTGGGGACTCCATGAAACTGCTGAGCGGTCGGGTTAGAACGGATAAAAGGAAGTACTTCTTCACCCAAAGAGTGGTTAACACATGGAATTCACTGCCACAGGAAGTGGTGGCGGCTACAAGCATGGGCGGCTTCAAAAGGGAATTAGATAAGCATATGGAGCAGAGGTCCATCAGTGGCTATTAGCCACAAGGTATAGATAAGGACTCTGGGGCAAGTGATGCTCTGTCATCTTGGTGCTTGGGGGGGGGGTCAACAGTGGGAGGGCTTCTAATGTCCTGGCCCCACTGGTGGACCTCCTGATGGCACTGGTATTTCTGGCCACTGTGTGACACAGAGTGTTGGACTGGATGGGCCTTTGGCCTGATTCAACATTGGCGTCTCTTATGTTCTTATGTTCTTATAAGTTAAGAGTCTGCAAGGAAGTTCTCAGTGGTTCATCAGGGACCGCCAGGGCTTCACCTGACCCTACAAATAATCTGATCCGTTTATTGGCGTTGGTGTAGTGGTTAAGTGCGTGGACTCTAATCTGGGAGAACTAGGTTTGATTCCCCAGTCCTCCACTTGCAACTGCTGGATGACCTTGGGCAAGCCACAGTTCTGACAAGAGCTGTCCTTGAAAGAGAAGTTCTGGAAAGAGCTCTCTCAGCCCCACTTACCTCACAGGGTGTCTGTTATGGGGAGGGGAAGGGAAAGGAGTTTGTAAACCACTCTGATACTCTGAGTGAAGGGCGGGATATAAATCCAGTCTCTTCTCTTCTTCTTCTCTTCTTCTTCTAAAGAACAAGCTGCTGCCAGAGAGCCTCCCAGCCCATGTCCCCTGTGACAGCCACTGCCCATCTCAGATGCCGTTGTGCTCCTGAGATAGCAAATTTCTGATTACCAGATGGTGGGGCTGGGGGTGATAGTGGATGGTTCACGGCTCTTTCATTCATGTCCTGCTGTTGAGCATTGCCAAGCATTTGCTTGGGGACAGAATACTAGGCTAAATGGACCTTTGCTCTTTTCCAGCAAAACAGCAGCTGCCTTCTGATATACTTCACATAACTTTGCTGAGAGGAGAATGTTTACATACTGAGATGGAGTTGTTTGCAGAAGGACATAAATTAGGTCTAATTCTTTCCTGATAGGTGTCTTTAGGCTGGGATTCTTTTGAATGATTCTTGTTTTGCTTTCATTTGCTGAGGACATGCTATGCCACCGAATGAATTATTCAGTTTTGTCGAAGAAATGGCTTTCACTCTGGGGCTTGTGTTTTCACAGGTGCAGTGGGAATGCATAAACCCCAAATACAAAGTCAAGAAGAAGAATTACAAGAACTCCGGCATCGTCATTCTTAACCTGTGCAAGGTGCTGTCATTGAAACAATTTTCTATAATTAAAACTGGAAAGTGTTGAGGAAAGGAAGCTGGAGTCAGCAATCTGCATTTTGCAGACATTCCTGTGTAAAAATAAATACGTTGAAGCATATCGCAGAAGGGTAACTATGGTGAGAGACTCCCCAAAGTAGCATAACAGACGATGTTGCTAATTCAGGGTAGATCAACATTTTTACAGGGCTGACAGCTGCTATGCAGAAATGGGGCTGTTGACCCTTCCAACAGCTCAGCTCCATTCCCTGTGTGTATCGAAAGGCAAATATTTGCTTACTGAAAGTAATACCGGTATTCTGTTTGGTCTCTTAATTCACGAGAAAGGAACAAAACCTGCATCACTGGTGCATTTCATTGTGTGTTCATAATTCTATAGATCGGTATTCCCTGGGGTGATTCCTTCATTTTGCCCTCATTGCTTTCCTTGTGCTTTCCCCTCACATCCATCCTTTCCCCCTTTGCCGCCAGCAGGCTTATTGTCATTTTTTAATTTCTATCAGTACTAGGAATATTGCTATACTGTTAAGACACCATAGTGCTATTGGGGGGGGGGTGCAAGGAGAAATCACACCAGATGAGGGTGGAAAGGTGCAGATATCCTCACGTTCCCACCCACATTTCCCGCAAACTAACTTGGGATACAGTGTTTCAGGAAAGAACATACCCAAGACTGGGAAAGCCATCACTGGAGATCTGTGACTGGATCTTTCCCATGTTTTAAATGGGCTGATAGTTGTTGTGCAGGGCCCTGATTCACATCAGAACTCTGGCATAGTGGGGGAAAGGAGTTGAACTTTTCTATCTCTCAGTCGCTTAGACTATCAAAATTCAACCACGTATTGTGATTTGTTGTGAGAAGAGATAGATAAAGAGAGGTTGCCCTCCCCCTCATTCTTTCCAGAGTGAGTTTTGATTCACAAAAACGACTACAGCTTTACTCTGAATCCAGACCCTTTACAACATTTTAAAGCATTAGAAAATCTGATCTGCAGGGAATGGTGGGAAGATTGGAAACAAAATCTGCCGTCAAATCATGCCCTTCACTGAAATAAATGGGAAACACACAATGGTAGCTGCTCCCATATGTTTAACAAGGACTTGTGCAGGAGACCTTCCCAGTGTATTGTTCTCTTGGGTTTTAATGTCTTGGGTCCTAGTTACAAAACTATAAAAAGAACACAGCTTCATTTGTGAGTTGAGGTGTAATCCATGGCAGAATCACACTTTTTTTTTGCCCATTGGTTTCAATGCACTTAGAAGGCTATAACTCTGTTTAGGATTGCACTATCAGTTGATAACGGATGGGCATGAACTGGCTGACAAACTAAAGTTCATCACAAATTTTGGCCTGTTCAGGGTTCGCAAACTGAAGTTCATGAACTGAAGAACTGGGATGACCTACCATGAATTTTGGTGCAATTTGTGGTGGCTTGTGTTCATGAAGAGCAGAAAGCAGGGGTTTACCCCTCCTTTCCGCTCTTCATGAGAAACAGCAGAGCAGCTGGGAGCTCCCTGCCGCTCAGCTATTTGGTTTAAATGGCTCTGAGCCATTTAACCTCTGCTTTCAGTTCATTATGGCTTTTTGTGGGAGCAGAAAGCAGGGTTTAAATGGCTCCGAGCCATTTAAACCACTGCTGCTTTCTGTTCCCTATGGCCTTCTGCCAGGAGCAGAAAACAGGGGTTTAAAAGGCACTGCCATCTGCTCCCTGGGAAAAGATGTGCGGAGCAGAAAGGAGGGTTTAAATGAAAGGGGTGAAGTGACTTCCCAGGGGCACTTCACCCCCCTTTCTGCTGGCTGCAACTTGCCACCACCAGCAGAAAGGTGGAAAGGAAGTCCCTTCCCAGGAGATTTCCCCCGTTTCTGCTGGCTGTGGCTTGCCACCACCAGGAGAAAGGTGATAGTCCCTTCCCAGGAATTTCCAGGCTTGCCACGGCTTGCTGCAACCAGCAGAAAAGTAGAAGGGAACTTCCTTCCTAGGGGATATCCCCCCCCCCATTTCCTTTGGCTGCTGTTTTTTGGGCTGTCTTCTGCAATCCTTTTAAAGTTTAAAGAGACTGCAGAAGACAGCCCAATACAACTGAGCAGCGTGGAACAAGCTGTTCCCCACCACTCAGCTGTTTGGGGGGGCTTTCTGCAAACCTCGTTTAAAGGGACTGCAGTCCCTTTCAATGACTCTTGCAGGGCCACAAACCACATGAACTGGTTTGGTTCATAAACAAGCTTCACAGTTCGGGGCTTGGTTTATGGTTAAGTACAAACCACAAACTGAACCACGTAAGCAGGGAAGGGTGGTTAAGAAATGGAATGAAATAAATAAATAAATACATTTTACTGGTTCATGCCAATCCCTATCAGTCTGTGAGATTAGGTACTGGCAAAATGGATTATGATGGCTAAGGAAAACATTAGAGTCCAGTGGCACCTTTAAGACCAACAAAGTTTTATTCTAGGTGTGAGCTTTTGTGTGCAAAGCACATTTCATCAGACAATGAAATGGAATTACAGAACATAGTTGTATATAGAGAGATTGACTTGTTTAATTAGCATGCAAAATAGTGGAACTGTTTTTTAACAGATAAAAAGAATGACAAGCTTGGTTTCTGGCTATCATCTATTTGCGTTCAACTGGGGGGGGGGACAACGTAGGTAATAAATGTGTAGAATTGGAAAACATTGTGAGTGAATAAGTTGGAAACTGAACATTATCCTGTCAGTATGTGTTTGGGTGGGGGGTAAATGGCAAGAGAAATTTTGCTGTGAAAGCACAACAAGAGAGAACACTTCCCAATGACCTTTGACTTTAGTACCACTTTATATGGAAAGTGAAGGATGCCAAATAAAGAATGTTTCTGGCCATTCTCCACTGCTATCTCAATCCATTCCTCTTTTTATAATGCTCTCTAACCAGCACCAAGGAGGAATACGGGACTAATGTATTGCACGCAACATACTGATGACAGTCTTTCTCTTATACATGGGCGTGTGTGAGTCCCATAAAGTTGCATTAAATAGAGGAAGTGAGAGAATCCTGGTGTGCCAGTGGAAATATTGTGGTAGGGCTTGAGCTTGTGGTGGTTTTCTGCAGTGGCATGAAGTATGAATCCCTTGTGCTATTACTAGGAACCGCAAGCCTGTTCCTGTGATGAGCAGTTTATAGAACAGTGTTGTCTTCCATCTCTCTGCACAACCAGTTCCATTATCCTTAGTAATCATAAAGGGGGGGGGGACACTATCCTCTCTCCAGTAAAGGTTTTGGGGGGAGGGGGAGCATGAATGCTTTCTTGGTTTTTACTTGCAATGTTCTTTATATAAATACTTTCTTCAAAGAAGCATTTCACCCTGCGCTACAGGAAGAAATACTTAAGAGCATGCCATTTTAATCTGAGTTTCTCTCTCTCTTATTTCCAGATTCACAAGATGCATTCGTTCTTAGACTACATCATGGGGGGCTGCCAAATACAGTTTACAGTAAGCAATTTTTAACTGGAGATAGAATTATTTTATGGTGCCAGATAATGTATTTATTCGAATCCAAGACTAGGGTGTTCCCCCCCCCCAGATATCCAAAAAGGGTGAGGGTGTCTTACATTTGCAATCATGCCCAGAAATAATTTGTGTGTGTATATAGCATTTTGTAGAGGGGATGCTCTAATATTTAGGGTTGTCTTCCGTTTGAGTAAATCAGTCCATGTTAGTTCAAATGTAGGATAAATGAGACATCAAGTACTTTTTTTTTCACACAGACCAAGTGTTTTGTACAATCAGGAATTTTTTAATTTAAAAAAGAGTTTTGGCTGTCATGTTTCATAACAGCTTGGGGAAGCTTATCGTTTTCCCACAAGGGTTATAGCTTTCCTGTATTATAGCTTTTTCTTGGAGATTTGTGTCCCCACCAATCATAAAAAATGGTTATTTGTATGCAGGGCTCCCCCCCCCCTGAAAAAGAGGTGCTGGAACTCTCAAGAGGGAAATGAAGTTTTCAATCTGTATACTGAAAACTCATGAACTTTTAAACATTTTTAAAAGAATTTTGTCAAAGAAGTTTGGGAACTCTGTTCTGGTGCGTTCCCCCAGAAAAAAGTCCCTGTTTGTATGAGTCAATACAGATGGGCCCTGCCAAAAATTCCATTGATGATATTGGCTGGAAACAGTGAATCAGATTTCCACAGACACTCTGAAACATATAACATGTCTCCTTAAAAATAAGGGACAATCAAATAGAAGCACCCGAAGACACTTAGATGGCTGCAGTCCATGCAGAGTTAGTCACTGCTAAGAATACAGTTCTCACCAGTGTTCCCTCTAAGCTGAGTTAGTGTGAGCTAGCTCGCAGTTTTTTAGCCTCCGGCTCACACATTTTTGTCTTAGCTCAGGAAGGATGGCTCCAGAGCAAACTAATTTATGCAGTAACCAAATCACTTGCTCACAGCTTTAATGCAAATAGCTCACAAAGTAGAAATTTTGCTCACAAGACTCCATAGCTCAGAAGCAAAGCAGGCTCAGCCCTGGGTAGAACTTGGATGGGAGACCTCCAAAGAAGACGGCAGAGGAAGGCAATGGCAAACCATGTCTGCGTCTCACTTGCCTTCCAAGCCCCTTGCTAGAGTCACCATAAGTCATCTGTGACTTAACAGCACTTTACTCACACACATACACAATAGTGCTATTCTGTATGATACTACTAGTACAATTTAGAATCTTAAAACTTCATTTTTTTACTATTTTCAAATACACACTTTTGTATCCTTACAAATAAGAAAAAATAAAGCAAGACTTCTACTGAGTAAATTTGAGTGTTATTTGTTGGTGTGATGGACTGCACTTTTAAAAGCTCAGAAGTGTTGTATAAAAAGATCTAGGACTGTGAAGGGTTAATTCTTCACAGAACCAGATAGCCTTGAGTGACAGGCCGCTCCAAGGAATCTGATTGGTTAGCATCAGTTGAGCAGATAAAGACTTGAGAGCTGAATGCTGAGGAGAAATTCAGTCTGAATTTAGCCCTGACTGAGAGCAGTTTAATAACGCAGATGGAGTACTGGGGAGGTTGGCAAGGAAGAGTGGGTAGTTAGACGAATACACCCATTTGGGAATAGATCTTCTGGAATAGATCTTCTGGAGAATAGATCTTCTAGAAAGAGAAGAATTTCCCTACCCAGTTAAAACAGAGAGATAGCTCTGTTGGATATTTAGTAGAGTAAATGAAGCATAGTGGAATAATGCAGCACAGAAATGTGTGTTTAACTTCTAAGAAAAAGTTTACTTCAATATTAGGGAAACAATTACATGGAAAGAAAACAACAACAGTCTAACTCATCTTTCTAGTTCTGATCTACTCGATCTTGTTAATTTGTTCCCTCTGACCCTAAGAAGGAAGAAATGGAAGTCCCCTCCCAAGCTCGTGTACATGCAGAATAACATGAGCTATCTCCAATATATTGATTAGCCAGTAGTCAATCTTAAGGTCACCTCATTAAGAATAAAACCTCCCACTTTTTGGTGGAATAATCTACTCTACACCTAATTGGTTCTATGCTAAACTTGCTATTATTAGCTTACAGAAACTTCAGCTTAACCCTTTCATGACTGAAGGGATGATACTTGCAAAACCCAACAAGCTCTGAAGAGTGGAGAGATCTTTGCTCTGGTGTGGTTAAAGGCTGCCTTTTGAAACCTGAAGGGTCAGTAAAGCTCAAGAAGAGTACTGGTATGTTTAGTGAAGGAGTTTGGTTACTGGATAGAGAGTCCTAGCCTTCTGGAAACCAAAAGAATCAGTGAATACTTAAAGAAAGTGTACTTGAATGTTCGGGAAACAATGGAACAAAAGCATCTCATCATAAAGATTTTAAATCACTGTGAATAGCTTTAAAAACTCTCATTAGTCTGAAACATATGTACTCTAGTCTGTGCTAGGAGTGTGCATTTGGCATAAACAGAGCTGAATGAATACTAAAAAAATACCCTATAGGTATTTTTCGTGTATAGTGCAAACCGAATACAGATCAGAGATCTGTATTTGGCTACCAATATAGCTGAGCCCCCCCAAAAAAACTGATTTTATTTGGCTTTTATTCGGGTCTATCCTTCCCCAGCTGCCCTGCCACTTTCACTGGTCAGTTTCACTCCCCCCCCTCAGCTGTTAGGTTTAGGCCAGTGAAGGGGGGGTGAAACTGACTAGTAGAAGCAGCAGGGAACTGGGAGAGGGAAGGAAGACAGAGAAGGCATATTTAAATGCCTTCTCTTCCATCCCCCAAATGTCCGCTGGCTGGAAGACGGAAGGCAAGGCATTTAAACATGCCTTCTCACTGTCTCTTTTGGGAAGGAAAGGGAAGGCATTTAAAAATGCCTTCTTTCTCTCTCTCTTTCCTTCCATAGCTACCCCGTGGCAGTGGGGAGGCTGGGGAAGGAAAGGGAGGACATGTTTAGATGCCTTCTCACTGTTTCTTTCCTTCCCCAGCCCCCCACCGGTTCATAACGTTATACTTCCAAGCAGAGGGGAGTGAAACTGACCAGTTTAATACCTGGAAGGAAAGGGAAGGCATTTAAACATGCCTTCTCTCTCTTCCTTCCCCCCCCCACAGCTGCCCCACCACTTCCACTAGTCAGTTTCACTCTCCACTGCTGATCAGCTGTTAGGTTTAAAAGGCCTAAACCTAACAGCTGACTGGGGGGGGGGGGAAACTGACCAGTGGAAGTAGCTGCCAGATGGGGGAGGGAAGGGAAGGCATTTAAACATGCCTTCCCACTCTCCCTTCCCTCCTAGTGGGTATATCAGACCCAAATTTATTTAAAAATACCAAATATTTTCCAAATCTCAATACTATACCTATAGTGGTACTCAGGAAATTCAGCCTTTACTGATATTTTTTGGGTCTGATATACCCAAATTGTAAAAATACCATTTTTCCCCTTGCACACTCCTAGTCTGTGCATGTACTGATTTTACCTCAGAGTTATTTGTTCAATTTACCTCAGAAATTTTACCCCTGATTTCACCTGAACTTTTCCCTTCCATGTTGAATAAAATATTTTATTATTTTTGAATCCCAAAGGCCCCAAGTGCCATTTCAGTTAAAAGGGGCTCTTGACCCTTCCCTCAGGCTCCTGGGCTGAGCCAGCCATAAAGTATCATAATGTGACAGGATGGGACAGCCAGAGTTCTTCAGGAAAGAAAAAGCAGATACCCAGGGGTGGCTCAGTCACAAAAGGAAAGAAAAACTGAGAGAAAATCTTGCCTATGAGAGAGGGAAGTGGACGGGTGCATCAGAGTTGGACAATAAGAAGCATCATTTACTGATTCCATTTGTGTTTAAAAATGAATACCATAAAAATGGTCAAGTCTTTTGGTTTTCAACTAAATTCTGACTAATGGGAATTTATACATACAAAAGGACTATTGTTTTCTGTGAACATGCAGTTAAGAGAAAACTATTTAATCAATGATAAATGACACCTTTGAGGTTATTTAAAATTAGTGATAGGATAACTAGTAAATGTTGATTTTGCCTTTTGAAAAAGCTAACTTCCAACTGATGTAGTGGGGTGTTACAGAGTGCTAATTTTCTGGAAAATGGTTCATAAAGTTGTTCATGATATTTGGAACATTATTCTTCTGATGAAACCCATTTTTTAAATTTAATTGCACTGAAAAGCTTTTTAATTTAATTGCACTGAAAAGCATTTAAGTCTTATAGGGAATGGGTGCTAAATGTATTGATGGTGGCAAGAATTATTTTCACTAGTCATTGGAAGACACACGTCCTCATTAAAAAAGAATGGCTCTTTAAAAGTTTATGATATTCTGTGAATGATAAAATTAACTGCACTACAATGTTGTGGGAACATAAAGACGAAGAAGAAAGCTGGCAACCTTTAATTAGATATATAAATTTAGTGGTACAGTAATGTATAAAATGGTGTGGTTTGTTAGTCACAAATGAAGTTTCAAACTGAATACTGTTTTGTATAAATTAGCATTTATGTAAGGAAATTACAATGTATTATGTATGATTTTTTTAAAGTAAATATACATTGGAGAAGATTGATCAAGATGGGTAGCCATGTTAGTCTGTCTGTAGCAGTAGAAAAGAGCAGGAGCCAGGCCCGTAACCAGGATTTCTTAATCCAGGGGGCCTTTAAATAAGTCAGGGGGCACTGATAAAATAAAAATAAAATAAACTCACACTTGCAGGCAGGAGCAGGGTTATTTCCCCTATTGTGGAGGGTGGGTGTAAGTGGAAGTCAGTCACTGACTCAGAGTAACCTGAGGAGGATCCCCTCCTCCTCTCATTCCCCCCCCCCGCAACTTGGTGACTTTGCCTCAGTCACACCCCCACCCAACGCCCTGCAGGGGGGCTTTCTGCTGCAACATTTCTCAGACTTCGAAGTGGCAGCTCGCCCGGGGAGACAAGCCAAAGGAGGAGAGGTGGGCGAGCAGACGGGATGGAGATGGCTGCTCTGCTGCCGGTGGT